TTTCTATCTTTTTTTTTTTTTTTTTTTTTTGAGGCCATAATAGACTTATTAGGGAAGGTGATAAGAGCAGTCTTCCCTAATAGATCTAGGAAAGGCCGCTCCATCTATTGGTGGGGAGCTGCACCTGCTGGAAAACGGGTCCAGCGTCCCTTTCGAAGTTCCATAAGTTTCATAGAATCGTAAATTGAGAGTAGAACCTGCCTCTTCAGCCTTTGTAAGCCACCAGATAAATGGGTGAACCTAGCAGTTCTACCCACTTAATCAGGACTATAATGCTCGATTTTCAAACAAAATTTTATCATACCTTCCCCTATATCCAGAGAAACAAAAAGAATAGATCATTAAAAACTCAACCCCCCAAACTAGTTAAAATGAACCCAGATTCATGACGTATCTGTCCCAAACCATCTGAGATCCACCATCACATTGTCCGGAAGAGGAAAGAGGTCACAGAACGAATCAGGCGATCTCAAAAAGGCTCATGTTTGAAGATCGAACCAGTTGTGAAAGAAGATATCATAGTCTCTCTTGAAACTTCCATCTCCTTCCCCCTCTGGCCACTTCACTTCTCCCAGCTTCCTTTCTGAATGCTCCCCCAGCCAACTTGTTTGAAATTTCTGGAGTACCTTCTTAATCTCCTGTCTTTGAGTCATAGTCCGAATTGCAATTTTAGTTTTAGACCATTGTGCTCTAATTTCCGCCTGCACAAATTGTATGATTATTTCATTGATTTCCTGACCATCTATTTTGACTTCCTCCTAGGAAAGAACACATCTCCTATACCATATTGCCCATATAATCGCCTTTCTTCCCAAATTGAAAAGATTACTTTGAAAATCTGACAAATCTATCAAGATTGAGTTCCAATGACCCAATAGCAATGCTCTCCAATCCCAGGGCCATTCCAAACCTGTTAGTTTGTTCCATATGTAATCCCATCTTCTCCAGGGAAGCACAGCTTTAGGGCATTGCAGAAAGATATGTTCAATGGTTTCCCTAATCTTTCTCTCAGGAAAGGCCGAGGCACAAGCCGAACACCAGGGTAAGGCCAAACCCTTTTGCTTAAGCGATGAATGATCAATGAGCCAATCATAAGTTGGCAAACACCTGTACACAATTTGCCATTGTAACGAAGCAAATTTTGTTGGTCTTTCCTTCAGGTTCCTCAACCATTTAATTGGGGAAAGTAGATCTGAATGAATATTTAGTTGTCTATGCCATCTGTCCTTCACTATAGCAGCCACATCAATTCTTGGACGAAGTAGGCGGTAGGAGGCTTTGACTGTCAGAGAGAACAGACGTAGAGGTTTGCATTTTTTATTAGTTCTCCAGGACCATTTTATTGGGTCTATTGGAAGTTCAGGAATCGGTAATTGAGGGAAGTAAGCCCTCCATCTGTTGCTACTTGAGCCATGAATTACCCTGATCCTGTATATAGATGAGTTGGGAAAAAAACACACTGCGTTTTGATTTGTCCGAGGGATTGAGTGGTCCTTGTTAATTCTGCACACATTTAGCAAGACACCATTGTGAACCATGTCTAAGATTTGTCCAACAACGGTAGACCCATCTGGTTGAATACCACTCACTCAATCCGCCTTCCTGAACATCTGACCCTTTTTAAGTTCCAACTCCCAGGCTAAGGGAATAGAGGCTAACATCTTGTCCAGATTTTCTGTCAGATTTCTAGCATATTTGATTTCTCTCTTTAGTTGATCCCCCGTTTTCCATTTCTTATTAATAAAGTCCCATAGGTCCTTGATCCTCATGATTCCTGTTTTTACCCATGTTGTCCAAGGAGGCTAAGAGCTGATATAGACCCTTCCATTGGAATCAAAAATCCATTTGTTACCAAAAATAGGTTGCCTGAGGATTTCCTCATATCTCGATGGTAAGTGTTTATTTGGAAGCGGAAGTTTACGCCATGTTTTAATTATTTCTGTCCAAAAATTATCTAGAATTATATCCTTAATTACTATTCCTCGGTCCCCCACTTGTTTGGAATTTGTATTAGCTTTAGGTAAGGTCCAGTACCTGTCCTCTACCCAAGACAGAGGATGGACCTCTCTCATAGAGGGAGGGGCTATTCTTCTAATTTGTTCTAGTGCAAGTGGCAACCATGGAAGATCCATTCCTAAGATTAAGCGTTTTATCCATTGGATGCTCAATGCTTGTGTTTGAAGAGCAAGGTCCAGAATTATGAGTCCTCCCTTGGATTTGGGTTGAATAAGAGTCGCCCATGCAACTCTAGGGATCACATTTACCGCCTCATGATCTCCTCTCCATAAAAAGGCATGTAACATTTGTTTGAGATTTCTAATTGGATTTTTATTCAAAGACCATAGAGTTGTCTTGTACCAAATAGATGCCAGTATGACATTATTGATGATTAGTGCTTTCCAAAATACTGAAGTATGTTGATTTTTCCATTTTTTCATTTTCTCTAATGCTGGGGAAGACATTCAGACATCATTAGTGTTAGGTTTACCTTGTGTCGTCATTATTACACCCAACACTCTGATAGGTGTTTGTAAAGGAAGCCATTTGATTCGTGTTACCTCTGGAGGTCTATCCCCTTGTGAATGAATTCACCAACCTTGTGTCTTATTGCCCCAATTAACCACCATATCCGACAAGGCTGAAAATCTATTCATAAGAGCTCTGATTTCTTCCATATTCTGAGTAGAAGCTTCCAGCATTAATGTTAGATCATCTGCAAACATAGAATATACTGGAACTGCCTCTTCTGGGATTCCCGTAATTTGTAATTTCTTAAGTTGAGGACTAGACCTAAGATTTGCTCCCAGAGCTTCAATTACAATCACAAAAAGAAAAGGATCTAAAGGGTCTCCTTGTCGTACCGATCTCTGAAGCTTGATCTCAGGGGAAAGGAGACCATTAACTTGTATTCTAGTTGTGGCATTGTGATGAAGAATATTTATCAATTCCCTTACTTTTGGTCCAAAGTTCAACTTTTCCAAACATGCATCCAGAAATCGTCAATCTACATGATCATATGTTTTTTTTAAGTCTACGAATATGAAGGCTGCATTATTCTGATTTTGTCTGGAGAGTTTAATCATTTCATTAATGAGCAGTGTATTATCCTGGATATTCCTACCCTTAATGAATCTTGTCTGAGAGGGGTGGATTAAGTTTGTCATTACTGGAAAAATCCTATTAGCTATAGCTTTTGCTAACATTTTGTAGATCACTATTAGGAGTGTGATTGGTCTGTAATTTTCAATGTTGTTTTTATCTCTTTTTTTGTATATTAACGTAAGTACTCCTTGTCCCATAATTTCTCCCATATTTCCTGATATTTGAACTTGCTTATAATATTTCATAAGATCATCAGCTAAGTAGGTCCACATGGTCTCCCAAAACTCTTTAGGGAACCCATCTATTCCTGGGGTCTTGTCTTCTTTCATTTGAAGTAGAGCTGTTCAAATCTCATTTTTTGAAATTGGCTCTTCCATTCTGTCGTTCTGCTCTTGTGTTAACATCTGTTCCATAGGGGCCAAAAAATCTTTCAGCATTCCATCATCCTTAGAGTCTTTAATCCTAGTATGTTACCTTCAAACTTCCTGCTGATGTGGTTGGATCTCCTTGACAAGGAATATCGGGATTAGATAATGCCCCTATATTAGATCTCCTTGCTCTTGCCTTGGCAAGAGCAAAAAATGATGCATCCATTTGACCTTTTGTGACATGGTTCTTTAGTTTACCTCTTATTAGTTGTCCTTGTCAACGTTGTCGTGCAAAGGCTAGCAGTTGATCTTTCAAGGCTTGTATATCCAAAGTTGGTGATAGAAGAGAAGGTTGTTCATATTGTAAAATTTGTTCCTGAATTTCTATTTCTTGAGAGTATCTTTTCTTGGCTATTATTTTAGAATATTCATTACATTTTTTAGCTAAGAATATAAGTCCATTATTAAATCATGATATGTACGAATCTTGATCATTTTTAGTAGTGTGCAAATAGTTCCAAACCTTTTGAATATAAATTTTAAAGCCTTTCCTATCCAGTAAGGAGGAATTTAATTTATAAAAACTTCTTCCTTGATCTGGCTTTTTACAAAATGACAGGAGGACTGCACACATTTTATGATCTGCTCCTGGCCAGGGGCTTTGTGGAAAAATATTGGCTCCCAGCATTGCTCCATCCAAATCCTCTGCCACCATGATTAGATTAATTTTTGATCTCGATTGATGAGGTGAGCCACAATTCCTTATGCAATATATACATACGTTCTTGTGGAAAAAAAATTCTGAATGAATCGAATAGTTTTTCCTCATCACAGAATTGTTGAATAATTATTTCATCCTCTTCAATATATAATGGACATGGATGAGGAATTTTTCATCTATCTAACCATCTATCAGGAGCTGCATTGAAATCCCCAGCTATCACCATTGGAATACCTTTTGG